ATGGAGTCTTCTAATATATAAATGTATATACATATATCATTTTATTTAGGTCTTCTTTAGTTTCTCTCTGAATTGTTTCACAGAGTTTCTGTGTGTGTATAAACTAAAAAAAAATATGTCTCTAAAAGCATTCTAGATTGTTTTGTTTTTTGCTTATCACAGTGCTAGGAACTGAACTCAGAGGTGCTCTAGCACTGAGCTACAACCCCAGCCTCCTTTCTCATTTTTGCTTTTTTAAATTTTGAGACAGACAATAAAGATATTTTAAATCTTCTATATTAATTAATGTTATTAATATTAAGTGTATATTTATATCTAAACAGAGCACATATGTGTTTCAAATAAACTAACATAGAAATGACATGCAGAACCTATAGTTCACATAAAAATGATATGTAATGATTTAAGTAAACTTTTTTTTTTCCCATAGAAGTTTTAGGTAAACAAAAAATAATTTGGTGGATCACGAGCTTGATAAGTTTTTATTATATAATAAACTCTGATTATATGACCAAAAACTAACTAAATAAATTTTTAGACAGGGTCTCACTAAGTTGTTAAGGTTGACCTCCAACTTGAGATACTTTTGCCTTAATCTTCCGAGGAACTGGGATTACTGGGATTACAGGCATGTGCCACCATACCCAGCAGCAATCCAGATTGTTTTTTTAAAGCAGGTTTAATCTGAGTGTTAATTCATATTACCTATTCAATCATTTAATTTTATAATTAGGATAACGCCTAGCATTGCTTCCACTAGTGTTCCCCCAATAGTAGTTTTGAAAATCAATGCACATCATAAATGTTATTGCTGAGAGTACATTCTGCATGAGATAGTCTGAGAAGCATAATCATAGGAAGCAGATAGTTCATACTGTTATTACAGAGACAGTTAAATACAAACTTTTAGACATCTTAATGGTGTATTTAAAGAGTTCTGGACAATAATTGTTGCTTACCTTCTCAAGTAAACAACAGATTATAAACTCACCCTGGATAATAACAGTAATAACAAATCACTTCTATAATGCTTTCTATGTGTCAGGTACTATTTTAAGAACTTTAAAACTATGAATTCCTTTAGTCTTTATACCAACCCTATTGGTAGTGAATATTATCTTCATTTTACAAGAGGAAAATCAAGTCCAGAGAAGTTAAATAAGTCATCCAAAGTCATACAGCTTGAAGATAGTAGAACCAGAATTCAGACCATTAGCAGTATGGTTTAGAATTCATCCGCTTAACCTTTCTGTACCATGAGAGAATAGAGGATTTCATTTAAAAGTATTTGCAGATTTCTGCTTCCAGTAATGAGAAATTGGGTAATTCAGATCAACTCTCCCAGACAAGTAGAAAAGCTAAATAATGGGGCTGGAGTTACAACTCAGCTGTAGAGCCTCACACATGCAAGGGCCTGGGTTCAATCCTCAGCACCAAATAAATAAATAAATACATGAGTGAATGAATGAATAAAGTTAGAAAATAATGATTTCTAAAAAAAAAAAAAAAAGAAAAGCTAAAAAAAATCTTAAAAAATCTAAATGAATACATCAGAGAACAAATAAATGGCAAAGAATTACCAGTCCACAGTCCAAAGACCGAAGTCCAGAGAAGTCAGTCACATTTGGGTTTCTTTTACTGTGGCAGATCTGCTGATTCTATATGAAATGACTAGGAGCTATTTTCAGTCTTTGGGCAGTTTTATAAAGCTGGGGGAAGTCCTAGTAAACCCCTGGTAAAACTGGGCCCCTTAAAGGTTGCATCCTAGGGGTAAGAGTGAACAAGAAATAAAACACAACTTTCACTGACTAAAACTGTTCCAAGTCATCTTGGTGGTCCAGAAAATATTAATCCCGTGAATTTAAGGTGATTAAAGTGATCCTAGCCTCTCATGAATCGTCTAGGCATTGAAGAGCAAAGAAAATCCTATCTGGAAGAGAGTCTTATCCAAGGTTACGGCCTATTTTTACAACTTTTCAAACAAAGTATTTGACACATAGTCAAAGAAAACTAGGCACAAAACAAGACAATATAAATTTTATGCAAGAGAAAAAATAGATCATAGAAATGGATACATCATAGTTCCAGATATTTGGACTGTCAGAGAAAAGACTTTAAGATAACTATCTTAAACTATTTTCAAAGAGATAAAAAATTATATAGAAAATAAGTGATACAAGAGATATGAAAAATAAGTGGAAATTCAAGAACTGGTAAATGTTTCAAAGGAGTAAAATCATATAGTATATATTTTCTGATCACAATGCAATTATAATAAAAATAATTAATAAAAAGACAGTCTGTATTTTTGGAAATTAAGATATAAATCTTGGGCTGGGGGTATAGTTCAGTGGTAGAATATGTGTTCAACATGTGCTAGGCCCTGGGTTCAATCCCTAGCAGATGAGCACACAAACACATAAACACACACACACACACACACACACACACACAAAAATCACTAGTTGGGATAGATATAACTCTAAACCAAAGAAGTCATAATAGAAATTGGAAAATATTTTGAACTAAATTCTGTAAAAAATATTGCTATTTTATACAATTAAAATTGTGCCTAGAAGTTTCTGGACTTAACTGGATATATTACAAAGAAAGCACCTATACAAAAAAATTAAGTACCTATACAAAAAATTAAGTACCTATACAAAAGTACCTATACAAAAAAATTCAGGAAAAAAAAATGAAATAAGCCCCCAAAATTAAATGAAGGCAATAAAGAACAAAAATTAATCAACCAGAAATCAGATGATAGAAGGATTTAAAAAGCCAAAGTAAGCCAGAGCTTGGTTCTTTGCAAAAATTAATAACATAGACCCCTGGGGTATCTGAGCAAGGGAAAAAGAGTAGCAATGTTACACATTTAAAAAATGGATATTATGCTGGGGCATATCTGTAATTCCAGCTACTCAGGAGGCTAAGATGGAGAGGCCTAAGTTTGAGGTCAGTCTAAGACTCTGTTTCAGAAACAAAATTGTTTAAAAAGTTGGGGAGCTGGGGATGTAGCTCAGTGATAAGAGTGCTTGCCTAACATGTATGAAACCCTGTGTTCAATTCTCAGTATTCCAAAAAAAAAAAAAAAAATGGGGCTAGAGATGTAGCTCAGTGGTAGAGTGTTTGCCTAGTACATACAAGGTCCTGGGTTCAAGCCCCAGCACTGCAAAAATAAACAAATAAGTAAATAAAAAGTTAAAAATAACAAAAAAGGATGTTTAAGAAGGATGCAATGTAATAAAAGGATTTTATGACTTTATGCCAGTGATTTTGAGAAGTGTAATGAAATATATACAACTTACCAACAAATCCCACCATTATGTACAACTATAATGCACCAATTAAAAAAAAAGTGTCTATGTTTATACCTTCAAAAAAAAGAAGAAATATACCACTTATAAAAAAGCCAACACAAGAACAAAATATTTCCATAGTTATGAGATGATTATTAAAAATTATATTTGTAATTAAATTATTAAACTAATGAAATGAAATTTATAATTCAAAGCTTTTTACAAAGAAAACTCCAAAATCATGTCTTTATCAACAATTTTACTAATCATTTATGGCAGAAATAATTCTAATTATGTATAAATTGTTCCAGAGAATAAAAAGAAAGTGATAAGCAAACTGTTTAGTAACTCATTTATAAAATCAGCAATAAGAGGAAAGTAAAGTTCAAAAATATGAAGAAAAGGAGTAACTAAACATAATTAAAGCCAGAACAGTGGTTACCTTTAGATAAAAGGGTAGAGACTATAGTTGGGAAAGGGCAGTAGGGGCGGGGGGCTTCTGGGAGCTGACAATGTTATGTTTTCTGACCTCAGTGGTGGTTTCCAAGCTTTATAATAAATCATTAAAATGCACATTTCTGTCTATATGCAGGTGTAATATAATTTGTAATAAAAATTTAATTTAAATTTATGGAACCAATGTTACTTAATAAAAGAATGGTATAAACAAACATCTGTTGACTTTCATTAATAAACTTTTCTTTCAGTGCCAGAGATAAAACCTAGGGACTCACACTAGGCAAGCACTCTACCACTGAGCCTCAACCCCAGCCCTAGATTAAGTAATTTTCTTGACTATGTATCTTTACTTACTCTAAGAGGTTTGTAACTTCCTCTTCTTAGATACTGTCTTTTAGAACTTAATCTCTTTACTGTCCACTAGCTTCCAAGTTCCATTAACACATACTATACCAGAATCAATAGCTATAATTACAATTTGTAGAAAGAGCATCAATTCTTGAATATTCTATATTTTTTTCACATGGGGGCACTGTTTGTAAACTCAAATTTTAATCTTGGTTTCTTGGATGACAACACTAAAATTAACCAGTGATTTCTAATGATTGCAAGATGTATATTATAAAGGCATACAAAGCAGGTAGTTTCATCTGGAAACCAAATAAATATCAACTCAACAGTTTTCCTGGGAACTTCCACATCTGTTTTCTATCACTGATTATTTTAATCTATTTGTCCCCAGTTTTTGTGTAGTCAGTCCTAGTTCAAAATCCAGACATTCGTCTAGAAAAAGCCTTTCCAGTAACAAAAAATTTAGTGACCTGAAATACAAATGGTTTTTTACTGAGACCAAGCTGTTGATTATTTCTTCTCTAAAACTATAATAAAAAGACAACTAACTAGGACTGAAGTGTTGCTCAGTGGCAGAGTGCTTCCCAGCCTGTACAGAAGGCCATGTGTTGAATATCCAGTACCACCAAAAAATGAACAGCTAAGTGAACATAGTTCAAATTTTGTTTTTGTTTTGGCAGCAATTACAAAACCTATAGTGAACTATTGCTCCTACACACCTTTCTAAATGCCTTTTAACATCTCCTTTAAGATGAAGAGTAAGCATGAAAACATCAGAGTTTAAAACAATTCTGACTCAAATCATGGCAATCCAAACTTTGGTTTACACACTATTATCAATTAAATAAAATTAAATAAAGGTACGATTTTCACTATAAAATTTCTCACTTTTGGAACATGAGGATTAAATTCCACAGCTCTATGAATTGCTTCCACAGCATTAATTTCTGCTGTGCTTAATCCTCTTCTGGAGGCTGTTTCTGGAGAGAATCTGTAAGAAAAAACCACAAAATGAAGAAATGAATAACAAAAGGAAAGAAATTATGGATTTAGACCATAATATAGTTCTCTAAATCAAAGGATTCTGGAAACGACTAAATTCAAAACCAGATAACTACTAAGAATGATAGTTAAAGCCTTCTGGTTCAAAATATAAAAAACAAGAAAGCATAAGGAATGAAAATTTTCAAACTTAGGTAGAGAAAGCATTCAGAAGTTCATTGAAGGCACACTTTGGGAAAGGTAAGAAATTCTACACAGGGACATCCAGAGAATCTCATGAAATATAAGTATATTCATATCAAATTTTTTATCTGAGAAGAAATAAACTATAAATACTTCATTCTAATTAATATCAAGGCATAGTAATATAAAGTGAAAAACAATGGCCACCATTTGATTAGTCTCTGATTTTCTTTTTTTGAGACACTGTACCCAACCAGTTTCTGACTATCTTACCTGCAGAATAAAGAAAATTCACTAAGAGCAGTCAAAAACAAAAGGAAAACAGAATAACACAATCCTAATATAAGAACAGACAACATGAAACTTATTTATCCATCATACTTCTTACTTATTAAAACTATTATTTATCTGTACTTTCTTTCTAGATACTGGTTTAGGCACTCCATAATTACATAATCCTCATACAATCACCCTACAGTACTATTCTCATTTTACAGATGAGGAAAAGATTCAAAATAATTAACCTAGCAAAAATCCTACAGCTAGTATATTATAAAGTTTAAATTTAAGTCTCAGTTTATTTAGCTCTAAAAATCTCTCTCCACTACCAAAAGTGAGAAGCCTCAAAGCCACAAAGGATCAAAGGTTATTTAGAAGAAAGCAGAGAAGAGGAGCATAGTTTTAAAAGTCAGTAGAGGTAAAACATAGTATTGAAATTAGCATTCTTCTCAAATAATTGTAGTTTTCTACTTGCCTAGTATGTACAAGGCCCCAGGTTCAATCCCCAGTACTGAAAATAAATAAATAAATAAATAAATTACAAAAAATGAATCAAATAATTAGTTTTCATAACTACTTACTTATCTGAAACAGTCCTTGTTTTCAACAGTGCTGCTGTATAACAGATTGCTGCTGACTTTGGAAGGCTTATATCTAAAATAATAATTTGAATTCAGATAAAAATTACAAAAATGTGTTAACATAATATTTTCATAACAATAACTCATAATACAAATTCAACACATGTGATATAGTACCAGAAGCCACCTGGACACATAGTTGGAAGACCTGAGTTTTGAATTCTGATTCTTCTATTTATTAGTTATGTATCCTTGACCCAATAGCAACTTCTTTGATCTTAGTTTTCTCAAGACAGAATGGTACTTTCTGACAGATGATATTATGTCTATTACAGCCCTCCACACAATGGTGACAAGTACTCAACAAATGTTTATAATAACTTTTTTACAGTAAGACTGTTCATGGAGAAAGCCACAGTATAATTAGTGCTATGCAAAAACTCCACCTATTCATAGAGTAAAACTAAGATTAGAAAAAAATTACTAGTTAAATCCAGGTTGATACAACCAAGGATTATTTTTACTTTTTCTTTTTCCTAAGAAAAAGAAATTACTCTGGACCTATAAATAAACAATATGAATCCTTTTATAAAGGAATGTCTGAAATATTGTTATCAAAAGAGTAAAATTTAGAACTTGTTGATGATTTCAGTTCCAGAGTTACACTAGTAAATGGAGAAGTAAATTTGGAAGGAAGTAAATTTGGCTTCAACTACTTAAGGATTCTAGAATGGAAAAAAATGGGATTCATGAAAACTGAAAACACAGAAGCAAATCAACTTAGACAGACTTTATTTTATTTTATTTTTAATGAATCAGACCCTATTCTGATTTTGTAATACTCAGTCTCTATACTTGGGTTCAGCACAAATGTAAGTCAGCCATGCATCCAGTAAGTTACATATGGAAGGAATTTCTAAAAAATGTCTCCATGAGCCCAACGTTATTCTGAAGCACTGCCTAAGAATTCCAGATGTTTAAAAGAAATAAACTTTTCTTTCAAGTATAACACATTTCAAACTTCCAAGTCATGGGGATTCCTAAGTTAATGGGTAAGAACCTACAACAGGACAAGTGTGAATAAGTGACTTATATGTGTTTTGTTATAATGAAAGATATGACCAGAAATATTACGATTGTCAGGAAGTGAAAACTTGTGGTTAAAAATTGAAGTCTAGGGCTGCAGTTGGAGCTCAGCAGTAGAGCGCTTGCCTTGTATGCGTGAGGCACTGCGTTCGAGTCCCAGTACCACATATAAATAAGCAAATAAAGGTCCATCAATAATTAAAAAACAAACAAACAAACAATTTAAAAAAAAAAGTCTTATTCTGAGTGAGAAAGTTTATGTATCTTTAAAATTTTCCCAATTCCGGGCTAGGATTGTGGCTCAATGGTAGAACACTTGCCTAGCATGTGGGAGGCACTGGGTTCGATCCTCAGCACCACATATAAATAAATAAAATAAAGGTCCACTGACAACTAAAAGAAAAAAAAATTCTCCCAATTCTACTTGTGGTAAACTGTCTATAGTACAATAATAAAAATAACCAACATAGACTGAATTATTGTTATGGGAAGACTAATGAACAAAAAAGAAGAATACCTGGGTTTAAATTCAGGATTGTCACTTACTAGTTGGGAGATACTCAATATTTAACCTTCTTAAATGTTAGTTTCCCAATTTAGAAACTGGAAAGAATAAAAACACTTGTCCTACCATCTTACAGGATTAGTTTAAGGATCAGATGAGATTAAAATTGTGCTTTTGTAACTAAAAAGCATTATAAATGTTATTTACCCTTTTTTTTTTTTTAGGAATTAGGAATTAAACTTAGAAGCCTTTACTACTGAGCTACATCCCCATACTTCTTCTTTTAAAACTTAAATCTTTTTTTTTTTAATCTTTATTTATCTTTATGTGGTGCTGAGGCGCAAACCCAGTACCTCACGTATACTAGGCAAGCACTCAACCACTGAGCCACAACCCTAGCCCCCCATACCTTTATTATACTTTTTATTATTCTCAGACACGGTCTTGCTAATTTACTCAGGCTGGCCTCAAATTTGTGATCCTTCTGCCTCAGCTTTCCAAGTAGCTAGGATTACAGACATGCAACCCCATATATGGTTTCTGAATTAGTCTTTATAAATACTGTTAAGCAACTTCTGTTAGCTTTCCTTGATATTCAAACGAGTATAAAAATGAGGCACCCTACTATGCGCACAGCATTTACACTTTTCCAATTATCTCATGCAAGTCATGCTGTCTTCAATGTAACCAATGTTCATTTGTTTATACATTCCACTAAACTGTAAATCCTATGATGATGAAATACATTTCTTCTTGTTCACATTTTATTCCAAAGTGCTTTATTCCTATTAGACACTCAATAAACAAAAGTTTTTTTTTCTTTTGGTGGTGATGCTGGGGATTGAACCCAGGGCCTTGTGTGTACGAGGCAAGCACTCTACCAACTGAGCTACATCCCCAGCCCAAAAGAATAAATCTTGACAGAAGAAAAAGTTCCTCCTTGTAGGCTTTTGCTACCAAAAGACCTGATAAAAAAAGATACCTTAATAGCAATTTGTACTTACACATACTAAATACTGACTGGTAAGAATAGAGAAAATTAGAGAAATACTAGAATAGTATCATATTTATGAATACATAATTTAAAAGAAAATCCTTTAACATACTATCAACTAAGACAAAAAACTCACCATCATATTTTGCTAGGACTGCCTGAACATCTGCATAGGCCTGTAATTCTAAAAGTGATTCTAAGAGATTTTCATGGATGTTCAACATGGTAAGAGGAGGAAATTCTTTCATCAACTGTATATTGAAAGAAAAAAAGAGATTAAAATTAGAACAGAGGAACTTTCACTAAAGTTGAAATTCTTTTGCTTCTTTACAAAACTGTAGAGACTCAGTCCTTAAAAAATGTATGTATATTAGGAATTGGGGCTGTAGCTCAGTGGCAGAACGCTTGCCTCACATGTGTGAGGCACTGGGTTTGATCCTCAGCACCACATAAAAATAAACAAATAAAGGCATTCTGTCCATTTACAACTCTAAAAAACAAAATTTTTAAAAAGTATGTGTATTACATAAATATCATTATAAAACCTATCAATTAAAAAACAGTAATTCTGTATCAAAATAACTGGAAACTTCAACTACATTTTATTTTTAGAGGAATCCATATAACAGTTTCAGTTATCAAACTTACTTACATCTCTCATTATTTTCACTGCTTCTCTTATTCTTCCTAATTTTCTTGCACACATTGCCAATCTTCTTTTAATATATACTAGCACATTGGTATCTCTCCCTATATAAAAAAACAAAAAGTAACACAATATTACTTTCATATTATGGCCTGTTATTTCACTAGAATATTATTTCTTAATTGCTTATCCTACAAGATTCAATTAAAATTAAATTGTGTCAAGATGGAAGAATATTTAATGATTATTGAATCTGGGTGATGAATATTTTGAATGGGAATCTCTTACATTTGTTTATGCTTGAAGTTTTGTGTGTTAAAAGTTTAGATTATACACACACACACACACACACACACACACACATATATATTTTGTGTGTGTGGTGCTGAGGATTGAACCCAGGACCTTGTGCCTGGGAGGCAAGCATTTTACCAAGTGAGCTATATCCTCAGCCCCTAAATGTTTAAAATATATGTTGAATTACTTTTGCCTCTAATAGTAAGTAATCTGAGTACAGTATATAGAATGTAATTTGTGTTTGAATAACAAATTCAATTTAATATTGCTAGAAAAAAAATACATATATTAAAAGGAAAATATAACATTAGCCTATTATTTTAAGTTTCTGCATAAATAATCTATAGTTTTAATATTCTCTATTTTTTAACTGAAAAACTCAAAATGTTCAAAGTGCAATTTCTATGACCAATGTAAACTTTTTATTAACAACTAATAACAAACTATGAAACTACTTCTAAGAAGGGCTAACAAAATTCTGTAACATGTTTAATTTTAATTTTATATTATGTAAAGACAAATGGCATGTTGTTTGTTTTGGTCAGTATTGAGGATTGAATCCAGAACTCTCACATGGTAGGAAAATTTTCTATCACTGACCTACATCCCTGGCCCTTTTTATTTTTTGTTTTGAGACAGGGTTTCACTAAGTTGCCCTAGTTTGCCCTCAAATTTGTGATCCTTCTGCTTGACCCCCTGAATTGACTTTATTACAGACGTAGTTTCATAAGTTCCAGTCTGCAAAACTAAATATTCCTGCAGTTGTGTGTAATAACATACATTAATGAAACATACTGTAAACAACATATTTAACTTGGAGAGAAAACATTATCTAACTTTTAATTTCCACAAACAAAAGATTTAGAACTTAACTGCTAATGGATAATGCATTACATAAACATATTTCATTTACTTTCTGTTAGCCACCCAAATCATAAAACTGAAATCCTCTGGCCATAAAAGGTAACAAGCAGGAGCAACATTCCTAATTCTAACATCTCTGGTAAAGTATCTCAATCATAATCAGAAGAGTATCGTTAAAGATTAGAGAGACCATTTGACCCAGTTATCACACTCCTCGGCATATCCCCAGAGGAATTAAAATCAGCATACTACAGTGATGTGGCCATATCAATGTTCACAGCAGCTCAATTCACAATAGCTATGCTATGGAACCAACCTAGGTGCCCTTCAAAAGATGAATGGATAAAGAAAATGTAGTACATTGGATTGTTACTCAGCCATAAAGAAGGAGGAAATTATGGCACTTGCCAGTAAATGGATGAAACTAGAGACTATCATGCTGAGTGAAATAAGCCAATCCCCAAAACCCAAAGGCTGAATATTCTCTCTGATATATAGATTGCTGATCCACAATGATAGGGGGGAAGGAGGAGTGGAGGTTCACTGAAATGGACAGAAGGAAGGGAGATAGGAATGGAATAATGAATTGGACATAACTTTCCTATGTTTAAATATGAATACACAGTCAGTATAACTTCACATCACATACAACCACAAAAATGGGAAGTTATACTCCATGTTATGAATGACATGTCAAAATACACTCTACTGTCAAAGAACAAATTAAAAAAAAAAAAAAAGGAATGGAAAGACTTCAGTTGTTGTGGCTAATCTGATCCCAAACACAATCACAGAAAAAAAATTAACCAAAGAGAAAAACCAATGTTACATATAAGGTTGGATTTTATGTTAAAAATCAGATGGTATGACTGGATGTGGTGGTGAATACCTGTAATCCCAGCAATTTGGGAGACTGTGGCAGGAGGATTGTAAGTTTGAGGTCAGCCTCAGCAAGTTAGTGAGACCCTATCTCAAAATTAAAAATAAAAAGGACTGGGGATATAACTCAGTGGTAAACCAACCCTGGGTTCAATCCCCAGTTAAAAAAAAAAGAATAATCAGAGCCACTCTTTGATGCTACATATAGATAACAGAGTCTGAAGAACAAACAAAATGATGTCCTGGGTTGGGGATGTAGCTCAAGGGTACAGTATTTGCTTTGTACGTGCAAGTCTCTGGGTTTGACCCCAGCAGCAGGAAAAAAAAAAAAAGCCTCTATTACTGAGTAAGGATGAAGATAAAGAAAATACCATCAATAGGGTCTTCTCAATCAATACTAATAATCACGAGAATGCTCTCCTAAATACCAAATAGTTTTATATTTATGTTTCTCTAATAACCAGGTATTCAATTCTTGTATGAAATAAATTACCATTAAGTCTCAAAACAGCATATTTCCTTTCAATAACCAGAGCAAATTTTATCCTTTTCACAAGCTCTTTCTGGCTACTACATATTTCTGTCTTACTGGCTTATACATATTAATAAATTAGTTAAGTAAAAACTAGCTAATTTACGAGCACTGTTTTTATTGTTGGTGGTCTGTGTTTTAAACATGCAAGATCCAATTATAGGTGCTAAAAGGACAGTAAAAATCAGTTCAAATTTGCTTACTCAGTTGAGCTTCATGCTGAGGACTCTGGTGCTGGCACTGCTGTGATCGCCTATAAATTGTTTCTCCTGCCTTGAGTGCCTGTTTAAATAACCTTTCAGCATCTACAATAGTGGTTGCTTCTTCCTCGGCCAGTAGAACATATGCAGTAGCACAGCTATAAAGAAAGCAAGCAAGGCAATCTGAAATAAAACTGTAAGGGCAAATATTTTCTCTTGGGTATGTCCCTTTGCTCTAAACCAAGTTTCCCTTAGCTTTACCTATACTTTCCATCTCTTGGGGGAAAAAACAAAAACAAAAACCAACTTTATTAGATGTTTTAATTTCTTGGGGACATACTAGTATATTCATTATGTCTAATTCCACAATTTTTTTCAGTCTCTTATCTTTCTCTTCTATTCTTTCTTCTTTTTTACCTCCATGGTCTGACTCTGCGTTTTCTTTTTTTTTTACAAGGGGAGAAAAAGGAAGATATATAAAGAATTGTGTGAAAAGTAGTTCTGGCAACCATATACTACATATATACTACAGTGATCAGACTTGCTCTTAGTCACTACATATTCTGTAATATCCAACTCCTGTGGGCAGCTATGAAAGACAGTGAAGATAGGGAAGAGGGTCTCTATGCTAAAGAGACACCTTTCATATCTGACTCAAAAAAACATTTCAGGACTAGGCTTTTCCTTCAAACGTTGAGTATTCCCTCTGCATGTGGCTCTATCCTCCCTTGGACTTATGCACAGTAGAATGCAGCATATTTCCTTGGTCTGAATTCTAGTCCTTCCTTCAAACTCCTACCCTCATTCCTTATACCCATGCTTACCTCAAGTTTTCTTTTCTTCACCCTACTAAAACAGAGATTTTTCTTTGTATTAGCCAGTCAATGGCTGACTAATAACATAAATTCGTTCTTATTTTTGGATAAAAGAAGAGAAGGAAAAAGTTTCCATTTTCTTATTCTGGTACTGGGGATTAAACCCAGGGTTACTTAACCATTAAGCCACATCCCTAGTTCTTTTTGGGACAGAGCCTTGTTATATTGCTGAGATTGGCTTTGAACCTGCAATTCTCCTTCCTCAGCCTCCCAAGTCACTGGGATTATAGGGCCGTGTGCCACTGCACCTATTTAAAGTTTCCCTTCCATTTCCAGAAATAACAAGTACCTCTCTTTGGGGATCATGTCTTAGTTCTGATAATATAAGCCTACACTGTCCAGAACAGTCAGTAGTCACATATACTTACTGAGCACTTGAAACACGGCTAGTCTGAACTGTAATGTGACATAAGTGTAAAACGCACACAGAATTTTGAAGATTGAGAAAAATATTAAAAATGTTTCAATAGAACAGTGTTTATCTAGAGACACTATTGGTAAAAAGTACAAGTGCAGGCATGAAACAAAAGTGATGACCAGATAACTATCACCATCAATTAAGGTTGAGAAGAGTCTTTCAGATATGGAAATGTAAATCATACCATTTAGGCAAATAGTAGTCTAAATTAAAGTATTCAATAATTTCACTAATCAACAATAATATCTCCTGTATATTATGTGGATTTCTCTGAAATATTAGATATACTGCTGCTTTAAACACTAGGTATCCTGCCATTTCCAAAACAAATTCAAATGTTTTAAAATAACCATAATAAAAATACTTTTTAAAAGATCTAGATGGATAAAATTGATGCAGTTGAATCAAAATATAAACATTATTACTTATTTATTTTTGTGGTGCTGAGGATCAAACCTAGGGCCTTACAAATGCTAGGAAAGGGCTCTACCACTGAGCTATATCCCCAGTCCCTCAAGATAATTTTAAATTACATTATAGTTGTATGGTATGAGGAGGTTTTTCTTCTCCTAAAGCCTTCTTGTATTTATTCTTGCACCTGAAGATGTTAATGCAATAAATTAATTATATGAATCTTACTTTGGGGAATGTAATTTTCTTAAGTTGAGGTTAAATTCACATACCAAAAAAATCACAGTTTAAAGTGTTTTAAAGTGCATAATTCAGAGACTTTTAATAAGTTCTCAAGGTTGTACAATTACCAGCACTACATAATTCTAAAACATTTTCATCACCCCTAAAAGAAATCCATAAGTCTCCCTAACTCCTGACAATCATAAATCTATTTTCTCACTTGATAATGTCCTTTATTGCATAAAAGATTCTAACTGATGAATGTAATTTATTTTTTTCTTATTACTTGTGTTTTTCAGATCCTATTTAATAAACCACTGTAAAATCCAAAGTTGGGGAGATTTGTTCCATATTTTGTTTTCTTCTCCTTCCTTCCTTTATTTACTTATTTATTTAGGAGGTGTCTATCTATCTGTCTATCTATCTATCTATCTATCTATCTATCTATCTATCTATTTTAGAGGTGCTGGGAGCAAACCCAGGAGCAATTTACCACAAGCTACATCTCCAGTAGTCCCTTCACCATTCTTTTTTTTTTGAAACAGTGTCTCACTAAGTTGCCTGGAAAGGCTAGCCTTGAACTTGAGATCCTCCTGCCTCAGCATCCTGAGTTAGCTGGAATTATAGGCATATGCTATCATGCCCATTTTGATCTGTGTTAGGTCAAACATGTTAGGTCCTTGATTAATTTTGAATTAATTGGTATGTATATGTGAGGTAAAGAGTTCAATTTCCTACTTTTATATGTGGCTATCTAGTTGTTCCAGCATCATCTGTTTTCTAAAAAGACTACTTTTCTCTCCACTGAATGTAGTGGCACCTTGGGTCAAAAATCAGTTGACCATAGATATCAACTTATTTCTGGATTCTCAATTGAAATCCATTGATTTAGGTTTCTATGTTTATGATTTAATTGCTGTAGTTTTGTAGTAAGATTGAAAATCTTGAAGTGTGAGTCCTCCAACTTTGTTTTTCTCTTTCAAGACTGTTTAGGCTATGCAGAGTCACTTGCAATTCCACATGAATTTTAGGACCAGCTTGTCCATTACTGCAAAAATAGTAATTGATAGGACTGCACTGAATCTATAGATCAACTTGGGAAGGACAGTGATGTCATAATAATATTTAAGACATCCAATCCATGAATAGAGGATGTCTTTCCATTTAAGTTGTCTTTAACTATCTGAACAGTGTATTATAGCTTTCAGTGTACAAGTCTTGCATATTCTTGGTTATATTTATTCCAAAGTATCTTAATAATTTTGATGCTATTGTAAATGGTATTATGTTATGATCCGAATTTGAAATGTCCCCCAAAGGATCATGTGTTGAAAGTCTGGTACCCAGTAATATTCAGAGATGGGGCTCTTGGAAGTGATTATTAGATCATGATGGCTCTGACCTCATCAATTTATTAAACCATTAAAGGATTCATAGCTGAATGGACTACTGAGAGGTGGTGGAAAGTGTAGGAGATAGAACCTAGGTGAAGGGAGTAAGTTCTTGAGGATGTGCTCTTGACTATATCTTGTTCCCAGTCTCAGTTACTATTTTTCCCTCTGCTTCTGGCTACTTATGAATTGAGCTGTTATCTTCTGCCATTTCCTTCTGCTATGATGTTCTGCCTCACCTCAGGACCAAAGCAGTGGAGCAGGTCAACCATGCACTGAAACATCAGAAATCATGAGCCAAAATATACTTATCCTCCTTTAAGTTGTTTTTTATCATAGGGATAAAAACTGACTATCACAGATTTGTTTTCTTGGTTTCCTTTCCAAATTGTTCAATGCTAAAGTATAGAAATGCAGCTAATTTTTTATATTGAGCTTGTCTCTTCAAACATTTTTGAAATCTTTATTGGCTCTAGTAGTTTTTTGTTTTGTTTTTTTGGTACTAAGGATTGAACCCAGGGGCACTTAACCACTGAGCCACATCCTCAGCCCAGTTCTAGTAGTTTTGTTTGTGTCAATTAAGATTTTCTACATATAAAGATAATGTTATCTATGAATAGATAGTTTTACTCCCTCATTTCTAATTAGGATGACATTTTTTTTTCTTGTTCAACGTCCCTAACTAAAACCTCTACTGCTATGTTAAATGAAATGGTAAGAGCAGATATCCTTGCCTTATTTCTGATCTCAGAACACTTTCAGTTTTTCATCAATCAGTACATAGTTATCACTGGGTTTTTCATAGATACTTTTTTTATCAGATTGAGGAAGGTTCCTTACAGTCCTAATTTTAAAAATGTTGTCATCATATACTGGTGTTAGATTTTGTCAAATACTTTTTCTGCATCGATTGAAATAATCATGGTTTTTGTCCTTTGTTCTATTAATGTGATGCATTACATTAACTGATTTCCATGTTTTTATCATGAAAGGTTGTTGGATTTTGTCAAATGCTTTTTCTGCATCACTTGAAATGATCAATGATTTCTCTCCTTCATTCTGTTAAGGTGATATATCATATTGATTAATTTTTATATACTGAGCCATTCTTACATTCTAATAATAAACACCACTTGGTCAGGGAATATAATACTTTCAATATATTGCTGGGTTTTATGTTAGTATTTTTTTTTTGGGACGCTTTTCTTCAAATATTATTTTCTGCCTTTCTCTCTCTTCTCTAGGACTCACATTATGTATAAGCTAGTATGTTTGATATTGTCCCACAGGTCTCTCTTAGAGACTTCATTTTCTTCATTTCTTTATTTTTTCTTGCTCCTTAGATAATATTAATTAAAATAACAAAAGTTAATTGATTCTTCTGTATGCTTAAATCTTTTTTTTTTTGGAGTTTGGAAAAATAATTATTTATTAGCATGCATATTTACAAGTTCATTAATTAGATTCTCATTTTCAAATTTTATAAAACTCCTTTAGAAATTATGGAGCAGAAATATGGAAGAAAGGGGCAAGAGACTTTCCACTAAAAGGTGAATTATAAGCTAGGAACAAGCACAAATACTTTGTGACAAACATGGAGGGTAAATACTTGGGAATGATACTGGCCAAAATATATCATTATGTTGTGTGTGTATGCATGTGGAAAAACTCCAATGACTAAGCAACTTTAAAAATATGGAATATCACCTTATATATATTCAAACAATGTATAATAATGACATCTTCAACAAGATTCTCCTGAAAAACAAAACTAATAATATGTAGTGGGGGATGTGAGAAAAAGAGAAAGAAAGGAGGGTATTTTAAGTAATTGGCTCACACAATATAGAGGGGCTGGCACTTTTGAAACCTGCACTGCAGGATGGCAGGCAGCAGATCCAAGGAAGAGTTGATGTCTCAAGTCTAGAGGTGCAGACAGAATACCATCTACCTGGAGGACTTCATTCTTCTATCTTAAGGTCTTCAACTGATTGCAAGAGTCCTGGCATGTGTGCGGCCTGGGTTCAATCCTCAGCACCACATACAAACAAAGATGTTGTGTCCGCTGAAAACTGGGATGAAATGTCCACCTTGGTCAACAGAGAAAGAGCCATACTTCTTAGTACAAAGATTTACTAATAATTTGTGAGCTGGTAATTGTTCCATTATATCTTCATTGTATAGTGATGGATATCACAAGCCCAGTGGGCAAAACAATTAGTTGCACATCAGACTGCTTAGCTGGCATATGATTGCAGCAAGAGTACTGTTGGTTACACATTCAAGTTCACTGGTAATTCCTTCCGGCAGAGCTCCCTGGCACAGTGCCGGGGTTGAATGTTCCTCTTCACTGAAGGCATGGCTCACAATCTTCTTACTCATTTCTATGGTAGTCACATGTTTCTCTTGTGCTCTGCTATCCAGTGAAATAGCCAAATATCTCATATCTCCTCAGGAAGGGTTGTCATTTCATGTAATTGTTGACTTACAAGTTGCAGAGATTCCCTCAGTTAGCACCACTTTGTCTCAGATATCAGTAGTAACAGCAACCAAAATTAAAACGGTCCACGGTCCCATCGCCGGCGCCGGAGCTGGAGCTCCATCGTCCTGCCGCGCCGCTGCCCACACGCGCCCCCTCCAGCAACACACCGCACACAGTGACGGGAGCAACGCCGCCTCAGTATGCTTAAATCTACTACTGAACTCAGTACTAATTTTTTATTCCCAGCAGAATTTTCAATTTGAGAATTTCCAGTTAGATTCTTTTTATTATCTCTTCCTCTTTATTTATATTATGTAATGGCAATACATCATTCTTATGGTTTTCATTAGCTCTTTGAACACATTTAAAATAATTTATTTAAAGTCTATTAAGTCCAAAGTCTAGGCTTCTTTAGGTGCAGTTTCTACAAATTTCTTTTCTTTCCTATGCATTGCCCATATATATATATATATTTATATATTTATTTATTTTGTTTTCTTTATAATGTTTCATTGAAATTGGGAAACCCTGATTATTATATTTTGGAAACTCTGGAAATAAGATTGTTTTGTACTCCATCTGTCATTGCTGTTTGTTGTAGTCGCTTGTTTAATGACTTCCCTGAACCAATTTTAAAAAATTCACATTCTTAGTCATGTGGGGCAAATGAAGTGTGAGCTCTGTTAGCTTAGTAGTAAGTTAATGATTTGGCAAAGATTTCCTTAAACACTGAAACTCAAAAAAATCCCACAAAAAAACAGAAGTTTTTGCAGATGGGCTGTGTGTATGTTGTATGTGCACACGCATACCAGGCATCTTCCAACTCTGCCTTAGTCTTTACTTCTTGCTTTCACACAACTGAAGGTTAACCAGACATGAGAGCTCAGGGCCTTTTCAACTATTTTCTTTTTCTAAAAATTTATATATATATATATATAAATATATAAATGTATATATATATATAAATATATAAATATAAATGTATAAATATATAAATGTATATATATGTATATATACACACACACACATATAAATATATTTTAGTTGTTGATGGACCTTTATTTTATTCATTTATTTATATTTGGTGCTGAAAATTGAACCCAGTTCCTCACACATGCTAGGCAAGCATTCTACCACTGAGCCACAACCCCAGACCATTTTCAAGTCTTTTGTAAGCACATGTTCAACTCTGACCAAGCATAAGGCTTTGAGATTCCCAGATATATGTGGGAGCTCTTCAGAGCCTTAATTCCCCAAAGTGTATCATTCTCCAGCCTTTCCTCATAAGCTTTCTAGCTTGTCTGTTTTTAGCCTCAGCTGTTATCCCTTGCCTCAGACAATAGTGACTAATGCAGTTACCTTTAGATGTTTTCAACAAACGTGCCTTATGTAGTTAATTCAGTTCTGAGAAAAGTTCAAGTTAACTCAAATAAAGGCAAGTCCTTTCAGTTGGTCTTTCATGGAGCCACCACACAGGTTAAAACAACCACTGTTCTTTGATAAAATGATATGGATCTGTACTTACAATGTGCACTACTGTCTTCAAGGTTAACACCGAGCTAGGAAGTAGATGATCGGGCCAGGGTATATTAAACACGATAGGTATTTTCACCTTTGATTTAACATTCACTAGATTGCTGTAAACTTTTTTATTATTTTGATTGTGAGTTTATTCACTGTTTTTGGAGTTCACTACTCTACCATTTTTGCACCACTTTGGGAAAACATTCCTTGAGTGACCCCAAATAGAACTATATTTTTACTCTTGGCATTTATTTAGTATTTATTAGATTAATTTCTATTAGCTTAGTGCAGTGATGCACAACTGTAATCCCAATGAGGCCGAGTCAGGAGGATTATGTATTTGAAGCCAGTCTCAGCAACTTGGATCTGTCTCAAAATAAAAAGGGCTGGGGATGAATCTCAGTGGTAGAGCATCCCTGAGTTCAATCCTCTACTGTCAAAAAAATATATATATAATAAATTAAAATAAATAAATAAATGTTGTTAACTTGGGGAGGGATGTTGACAGAGTTATGTTTTACTTATTTTGAATCCTCTTCTTATGCCTTTAAGCCCATTAGCAACTGACATTCTCAGTACTGAATGAATGTTCTGAATTAATGATTTAAATGAAAAACAAAATTAAAACATTGGCATAAGCATTTTAATACCCTTATAGTATTATCACATTCTCCATTAAAAAAATTCTAACATAATTTCTATTCAAAATCATATATCAGTTTTAAATTTCAGAAACAAAATAGAGATGTCAATGAATACTGCAAATTTTATCTTTAGGAAGAGGGAACTATAATAGTATAATGTATAATAGTATAATGACTCCAAGGGTCTTAGAAACAGACAAAAGGAAATATAAAATCATTTGCCTGAGTTTCCTTTAAAACAAACTTATTTTCCATATAATTCAAACTTACTCATTGTTTAATTCTAAAGCTTGATAGGCTGCTTTGATTCGAGCTGGAGGATTTCTTTCCCTCCATGCCTTCTGCATAACTGTAGGAAAAATATTTCAAAAGTGGATGAGATGGTAAACATAAATAACTTTATGCAAAACATATGAAGAATGAACAAGGAGGGTAAATAAAGCTTTAAATAATATGTTTTTAAATATATAAAACAAGAAGTTGAGTTTCTAATTCACATTAACTTTATGAGAAATTTACATTAAATATAGAAGGTTTAAGTGTAATAAAAATAATCTTTCTCTGATTTATTTGAATAACAACATATAAGGAACTTAACTAGTTTAATTTCATTGTTTATTATATGTGAATATTGATATATCTAAATGCATGTTAAAATTCAGTTTGAGTGATATTAGATTATAATCAACATTAAATATTCCAGTTCAGTTTTTATCATTTTCTAAAGATTCTATGGAACTGCTATAAATATACAAAAACTTAAAAACAGAGTCTGTCTAATCAATAATTCACTCTAAGAAGAATGTGTGGATTCGTATTTTGCATGAAAAGCAGAGGGAAGAATTAATTTAGAATATAATACATCTCTGGAATATGTCACCTTTACCAGAATTCAACAAAAGCCTAAGCTAGAATTTCTCTGGAATAATCATATTAGTTTTGCTACCATTCACTATACTAAAATAAAGATATCACACTAAGTAACATTTCTTAAAAATTAAAGGAACAAACAAACAAAATGAAGATATCTGGCTTAGTTTAAGTTTGATAAGAAAAACAAGGAACCTATGAGTGTTGATTTTGGAACAAAACCCACCTCTGTCCAGAAAGAATAATGTGGAAAATGTTTGATTTTTCCCTTGGAAAGAAAATATTAGTGTTGGCTTAGAAAAGGAGACAATATATTCCACTTGTGTAACAAAAAATTCTTTTCTCATATCAAACATGTCACCAGCTAGCTGACAGCTAATGCTTCCTGAACTTGACAAATTGATGCAAGGCAGCATCCATCTGATACTAAGTAAAGAACATTATTCTGTTGAAACTCTAAAATATTACATAAAAATAGAGCATAATATTAGATTTGCTATTTCTGATGATAGGGCTCTTTTCTATAAGTTATATGATATTTACAAGTCAAATTTTAATACTAAATCTTTACCAACATTTTAAAGAGTTATTTGATATTCAGGTATATTAAGTACATATCAATTTCTTTAACCAATTCCTTTTTGATGGACAACTAAGTTATATCCAATACTTTGCTAACATAAAACTGTGATAACAATCTTTCAGTGGCTATCTTTGCATAGCTGATCAAATATTTCCTTTCTAGAAATAAAAGGTTCTGGACATATGTCTCCAAATTCCTCTCAACAATATCATATTAATTTATATTCTCACTTTATAGGAGACTGATCATTTCCATACTTCCTTAACAACCTACTACAAAAGTTGAGCATCCCAAATCCCAAAATCCCAAATCTGAAATACTCCAAAATAAAGAACATTAAGCACAGGTGGGCAATTCCACACATGACCTCATGTTCTCGCAGTCAAAACACAGGTACACTAAAAATACTGTATGAAATTACCTTCAAGCTAAGTGTATAAAGTGTACATGTAATATAAGTGAATTTTATATTAGGACTTGAGTCCCATTCCCAACATATCTCCTTATATATTTGGAAATATTGAAAAATTTTTAAAAATCTGAAATCCAAATATTTATGGTCTCAAGTATTTCTTATAAGGAATATTCAATCTGCCTTATCAATCTTTGCTAATATGTGAAAACAATCTCATTTTTTAAAAAATTTTTCTATTGAGGTTATCTCATCTACTTTTAAGTAATTTTTCTTATTTTTCTGTTTTCAAATGCTTTATCTGGCCTTTCAAGATTATTCTTCATAACCCAAGTCAGTCCTAAATCTAAGGGGAAAAGGGAAGTAGAGGAAGGAAAAAAATGTGCATTTTTTTTTCTAAAATAAGGATCAGGAATAATTTAAAGCAAAATGTTGACTTAGTATTCAATTGTTCTCTTTAAGACCTCATGATATGCTTTAAAAAATTAATAAAAGCTTTTAGTAATTCATTCAAATTTATCTATTTTTTAAGCCAAATATTTTGACATTCTAATAAGCACAAGAGACCAGCAATTATCCCTAGGACAGGGGTCATATATGTAAATGTCTACAGAGGCCAGGTAGGAAACATGACAATGAACTAAAATCACATTTACTGTCAGAAGAGAATAGCCACAATTCATTTCTAGCTTATTACTGCCAAGTGGAAATGTAGATCCACTTTTCCCATACTTTCCAAAAAGTGTAAATCAGATTTTAATGTGAATTTTGCTCTTTATTTATTTATTTTTCTAATAGAATCTCTCTGTTGTCCAGGATGGCCCTTAATTCCTGGCTTTACATGATTCTTCTAACCTCAACCTCCCAAGAGCTGGAACTACTGGTACATGCCATTGTGACCAGCATCTTTATTTTTAAATGTTGAAAATTAAAACATATAATTCAAAAAACATTGCTGGCTGTCCCTTGAGAATATGGGTTTTTGTTGTTGTTGTTGTTGTTGTTGTTGTTTTAGTTACAGATGGACATAATACCTTTATTTTACTTATTATTTTTATATGGTGCTGAGGATCTAACCCAGTGACTCACATGTGCTACGCAAGTGCTCTACCACTGAGCCACAACCCTAGCCCCAAGAATATGTTTGTTCTCTGCCTTAGATAAATTGATAAGATGAGAACAAAATCAACTCATTTAATGATTACTAAAGATGATAATTCAAGGGAAATTTGCCACATCCCATATACACATACATTTGTCTTTTGAATATAAAACTATTAATATGTATCATTGGCTTTCTGGGAATTTGGTCTATCTAGTTCAAGCTCCAAGATTTATCTACCTTTCCATCTTGGAATTTGAATTCAGAAGAGAACATTATAATGGAAGATGCATGCTAATATGTTTACTTGAACTGAAAAATGAAATCACAGACTTCACTACCAGAAAGCGTCTGGTTTGGTTAATAAGATTGAAAAATGAAGACATGCATCCAATTAGGTTTTATGGAGGACATATTTCAGAGTTTAAAGATCTAAGTTATATATCTGTAAGGACTTGACAAAACTTTGATTAAAATATATCACATTATTTAGAATCTAGATCAAATGAAATTTACATTAAAAATGTATACTTTTTTATTGTAGAAAAGTCTGCTTATGATAAAAGACTTAAGCATTAATTATAATACAATTATAAAGTATGTAAAATAGATATGCATTAAGAAGAAAAAGGACTTACAAAAGCTTGTTACTGTTAGAAAACGTTTGATCATGTAGTCTTTAATAGATAAGGTGGATATCAAATATTTTGATTCCAGGATCTGGGGCAATATATGTAGCTTAGTAGTAGAGTACATGCTTAGCATGTGTCCTGGGTTCAATCCCAGAAAACAAACACACAAACACACACACACAGATAAAATAAACTGACTCCATGATGTATATTTAAAATAAGGCATATTAATTTTAATTTTTTAATGTCTACATTTTGCAATATGTCAAAAATTACATTCTTTGTAATTATTTGCCTTGTAATGTTAATTTTAAAAAGATTGAGTTAGACACAATGGCGAATGCCTGTAATACCACTGACTGGGCTGAGGAAGGATCACAAGTTTGAGGCCAACCTCAGCAATTTAACAAGGCCCTAAGCAACTCAGTGAGACCTTGTCTCAAAAAATAAAAAGGGCTGCAGACATAGCTTAGTGGTAAAGCACCCCTGGGTTCAATCCCCAGTACTAGGGAAAAAAAAAAAAGTAAAAGGACACATTTGTGGGGAGCCACACTGAAGGACCATGCCTTCCAGACCTGATGTCTCAGGCTCTGGCCAACCACTCAGAATGCAAGGTCATCTTTGTGGGGCATGCCCCTAGGGTTGAGTTACACTCACCTATTCCCTTATACTCCTGCCCCTTCTGCCCTTTTATGAATAGAACTTTCTAAGAACAAGAGTCCTCCCCAATAAAAGCTGACTTCCAAACATGTTCCTTCTCTCTCATCAGCCTCTCATGACTTTCTCTTGCTTTCCCTTTTGGGGAGCCTGAGAATGAAAGATGGGGAAGCCATCCTGAAGCTTGTATAAAGGTAAATAGTGTCTGTGTTTTTATTTTATGTCCCTGCAAATTCACACGAGTGATCTTAGTTCAGCTGCCCACAATGGTCGGGGGTGGCACACATAATTTTTAAATTCTTTTTGGAGATAGTGAATGTTTTAAGACTATAGTTTTAGTGTAGAAATGTTTTAAGACTACAGTTTTAGTGGACAGTCAGAGTGGCTCTTTGGAAAGTCTACTGATGTTTGCAATTCTGACTATGAGAGGGAGATAAGGGCTAATTTCCAGACTCACTTCAATCCTTAAAATTAACTCATAATACTTAACATTCTACTCCTATTTCTAAGACATACTTTTGCTAATAATAACATTAAACTTATAAACATAAAGCAATTCTTTTTTTAACCTCTATTTGAAATTAAATATTTTATGAAACCATATCAAAGATCCTTAAATTCCTGCTACCATCCATCCTTAATACATTTAATCCAACGACGATATATGACAATGAACTCAATTCAGTGCTAAGAAACTGGCTTTTTCAAACTACCTATCAATGTGGTTAAGTGGAAGTAGTAGTATTTTAGTGGTTAAAAGCCAAACTGGAGTTTGAAACCTATCCTTATGTATTAGCTATGTGATTAGGGCATACTACTTGATCTCTCTTTGCCTTAGTTCCTTTGTTTTATTTATTTATTTGCAGTGCTGGGGATCAAATCAATGGTCTTATGCATGCTAGACAAACACTTCAGCAGTAAGCTTCATCCCCAGAACCAGTTCTTTTATTTTTAAAACTGAACTGATACTAGTACCTCTCATAAAGTGGGAAAATTAAATTAGTACATTTCTACAAATTATTAAACCACGACTTTCATATGTGTCTTCCTTAATAGTGTATGAAACTTGGAGAGCAAGGAATATATTTTCATCTTTGATCCCTATCAGCTAGCACACTGCCTGGCATACTGCAAATACTATAATATAATTTGAGTTATTATCTGTTAATATTATTTAATCTGAGTTTCTTGTCAATAATGCAAATAACTTCAACCCAAATAACTCTGGATATTATAATAAATAACTCTAAAGAACTTTTCAAATAATTTTCACAGTCACTGTTTGCACCATGAATAGATATGACATACCTGTGTCTGAAGGACGTAAAAAGTCTGAGTCACAGGTGAAAAAGGTCTGATGGTCCTGTGCTGACAAGTTCATGTCATAGTACGTAAGTGGCTCTTTTCCAGTCACCCAAGTGTATCTTAACCAAAACACAAGAAAATATTTAAATTAGACATGAGAGAGTATCTGTCTGCTATAACATATACTATTTAAATTCCAAAGATAGAGGACTACAAGTTTTATATTCTATTTCAGGATATTTTAAAAATTTATTATACTTAGCAAAATGAGTGAGATAATCTACAAAAACTAATTAAGAATATGATAATAAAACATCAAAAATGAAATCAGAAAGAATAAATTATTCAATAAACAATGCTGTGAATACTGGATTTGAAGGAATAAAACAATGTTAGATATATACCTCATTAAATATATTTGAATAAATTCTCAATGAATAAAAATTAAATATTACAAGTAAAACCCCATAGAAGCTAAAAGAAAGGAGATGAATTTCTACTCAATATATCAATATGGTGTAGGGCTTTCAGTGTATAGACAGAGCAGGGCACAGTGGTGCACACCTATCATCTCTACAACTCGGGAGGCTGAGACAGGAGGATCACAAGTTTGATGACAGCCTGGGCAACTTAGCAAGAAGTTAACTTAGCAAGACTTCCTAACTTAGCAAGACTAAGTTAACTTCCACTTAACTTAGCAAGACCCTCTCTTAAAATTAAAAAAAAAAACTGACTGGGTAAGTATCTCAGTGGTAGAGTGCTCCTGGGTTCAATTACCAGCACCCAATACCATA